GAGTACATCATTGTAAGCACAGAAACCAAGCCAGCAGAAAAGTGAACTGATAAAAAACCAAAATAGACCAAGCCAGCAGCAACGAAAACAAACAATACTAGTAGAATCCCCGGAAGCGAAACCAGCAGAATCACCAAGTCAAAAAAAACAGAGCACTAGATGTAGAAACCACCAAACGATAGAGTTCTGAACTCAAAATGGGTCTGAAAATTAAAATAGTGACTGTAAAAGAAGGAAGAAGAATCAAGAGCTTAGAATTCTTATACCATGTTAAAAATTAGAAAGAGGAAGAAATATTTGAAATTTTTTTTTATTGTTTTATTATTTTCATTGTATATAGGGAATCTATTTATAAGTCTATACAATAAAATATTCCTAAATACAAAACCAGTTAACTTAAATATATATTTACTTACAATGTGTAGAAGTTAATTTAGTGCGAATACTAATATTTTAACATAAATATTAATATTTTAATATTCCTAAATACAAAATCAACTAAATTAAATATATAATTACTTACAATGTGAAGATGTTAATCAGTGTGGATGCTAATATTTTAACATAAATATTAATATTTTTATAAAAAAAATAATGGGCTAGACTTGTTGGTTTTTGTAGTCACATATTTACTTATTGATTATTTAGATTTCACTGTTGTCTCATATAGTACTCAAGTTTAGGTTGAATTTCTCTTGCTATTTAAGTAGCTTTAATATGCATTCTTTGATATAATATCAATTCTTGAAAACCATGTTCATCCATATTGGTGACATGACCCGATGATAAAAAAAAAATATATGTTATTAATATCTTTTTAATTTTATTAGTATTATCTTTTTTTTTTTTTGGGGGTCTAACTAAGTTTATTTCGGATTTTATTTTATTTAATTATTGAGATTAGATTGACTGATTGTGAGTTGGAGGGGCAGGGGAGAACAGTGAGAACAAGTCTCTCCCTGCACTTGTTTGGGTAAGCTCAGAAAAAAGTAAGTAAAGGAGGGAGAGGGAGACAGGAAGAGTGATGAAACTTCTCCAAATTCTTTATTTTTAATCATGAATTTGGAGAGATTTGATTTATTTTTAATCTCAACCGATGACCAATCTTAATTTTAATATCCCTAATGTAGATTAATTTATTTTATTATTGGTTAATTTGACATACAATTAACTTGAGTTCTAGCAAATCCCATATTTATCATTTATGAATATTTAAGTACATTTGAAAATTTATCATACACTATTATTTAACAAAAAAATTCATTGTGAAATATTTTATAGGTTAATATTATTAAAATTTATCATATGTTATAAATATTGTAATTTATATTATATTTGTATATGATAGAAAAAAAAAAATTCATTGTGAAATATTTTATAGGTTAATATTATTAAAATTTATCATATGTTATAAATATTGTAATTTATATTATATTTGTATATGATGAAAAAAAAAAAAGACTCACTCCATATCTAATAGTTTAAGTTGTATAATTTGATACAATTTAAATATACAACATTTTTTTAATTAAAATTTATTTAATAATGCATCCCATACTGAATATGAAAATTAACAACGGCTAACTTATGTTAAGAATTTTTACATTAAAGTGGATTATAATAACGGGCTTAGGCAATAATTGATCAAAGCGGCAATTATGATGAAAAGGAAGGCATCAAAATGATGCCATTTTCAGTTGCGTATATTCTTCTAATCCTAGAAGAAGACAAACATATATTCACAAGTTCTTAAATGACTACAACCATGGTTTTAAAAACCGGATTGGTGATAGAATTGGTTTATTCATTGGTTTTTGATTTAATCGGTTCAAACGGTTCAATCGGTCAATCGACCAAATCAAAGCAAAAGTGCCAAAAACTGCACTTCTGACTTTGCTGGCAGAATCCTGCTGTTGTTTTTATCATTTTTCCTTGCAGTTTGTAACAACAACAAGTTTAAAAACTCAATAAATAGATAACAAACTTTGAAAAAACGAAAATTTACAATAAATTGCTGAAAATTTTGCAACAAATTAAAAACCAAGTCCTGAAGCAAATTGCAAAGCAACAAATTTACAACGAATTTGCTGAAAATCTATAATAAATTGAAAATTCTGCAACAAATTAAGATTCTAGGAGCATTACCCAACTAGAAAATCTACAATAAATTGAAAATTCTGCAACAAATTGAGATTCTAGGGGCATTACCCAACTAGAAAATATGAGGATTTCTGAAAATTATGCAACAAATTGCTGAGAAATTGAAAACCAATGAGCTTACTAGTAGATAGAAGAAATAGAGGCGTGATTAACTATAAAGGAGGAAGGAAAATAGTATTTTGCGACAGCACCCCTCGGATGGCCGGT